GAGACTTTTTGGGGGGGACCTGGCCAACATGGGACTTTGTTGACTACACATGTTTGTAATGGATTATTTTGTACTTTTTGCCTTTTCCATGGGGGGAGGGAGGGGTGAGAAGGAAGAATTCAGATCTGAAAATATAATAAAATTGATTTTTAAAAAGAATCACATCTTCCGTAATTTTGATTCTAACAGAACTAACTCCTTTTTTGGTCCTATGTGTTCTTGATGATTCATATAAGTACAATAAAGATATAAGTATAGATATAAGTACTAATATAAGTAGACATAAGTACTTGTACTGTATAAGTACAGTAAAAATAAGCAAAACATGGTATAGTAGATAAAAATTCTCAACCTTAGAGTCAGTAAAGTATGAGTCCCGTCTCTGACACATGCTGACTGTGTGATTCTCAGTGCCCCAGGCAACTTTCTAAGAAGCTTAGTTTCCTCATTCCTACTATGAGAGTGACAAGCAGTAGAATATAGAGGAAAGAACATTAGTTCTAGAACCAGAGGCTCTAGGTTCAAACCCTCTCTCTTTCATTATATAGTGTCCCAAAAGTCTTAGTGTTGTTTGAAGTTATTAAAGCATAAAACTGTGCTAAAACTTTTGGAACACTCTATGTTATGCAGTAAGTAGTAAGCTACTTAACCTTTCTGGATGTCAGTTACTTCATATAAACAAGAGTGTTAGACTACGTGGCTTTTTAGGTCCCTTTCAGTTCTGTTCCTTTAATAAAGTTCAGTTCCTTTAATAAAGGGATTTACCATACCTGGAGTTGCTACATTGATGAAATCATAGGTCCGAGACAAAGTATAATATAGCCCAGAAGATTTCCTATTGAAGTGAGTTTTATTTTTGCTTTAATATTTTGTTACTAACAATTGCTCTATTCATTTCTCTCCTCCCTTTCTGTTCCTTCCCTATTCTCTGTGCACTTAAGTACATTATTATTTCATACAGTTAATTAAAAATCAGGAAAAGAAGCTTTTCTCAACCTCTCTTAATTCTGGTGCCTTCCCTCTCTTATTTATGTCCTGTTTGTACTATATCTATATCCATCTATCTATCTATCTATCTATCTATCTATCTATCTAATCTATCTATCTATCTATCTATATACATAGAGAGAGAGAGAGAGAGAGAGAGAGAGAGACAGAGAGAGACAGAGAGAGCTTGTTTGCACAAATTTGTTTACTTGTTGTCTTCCTCATTAGATTAGGTCCTAAGGTCCTTGATAACACAGAGTGTTGTTTGCTTCTTTTTATATTCCCATAACACTGTAGCACATAGTAGGCATTTACTAAATGTTTACTGACTGGTTGACTGATCAATTAAGTCCTAGAAGTGGCCCTTTGTATAGAGTTCTGATCTAGATTCAGGAAGACCTACATTCAAATCTTCTTTTAGACTCTTACTAACTGTGTGACCCTGGGCAAATCATTTAATTTCAGTCTGTCTCAATTTCCTCAACTACGAAATGAAAATAATAGTAACACCTACCTCCCAAGGTCATTATGACAATAAAATGAGATAATGTTTGTGAAGCACTTTGCAGACCTTAAAGCACTATATAAATGCTAGCTATCATCATCATCATCATTTGTTTATTTAATACATCTTTTTTATATCTATCATTATCTACCAACTCACTCTTACCACCCTGAGTAGAAGCAGATAGATAGAGGGATACACACATATACATACATACATACATCTTTATGTGTATATGTATATATCTATGTATATATACACACACAAGCAAAACCAATCAACATACTGGACATTTCTAAGAATACATGTCTGATTTTGTACCTCAAATTCATCATTTTTCTTTGAAAAAGTGGAAGGTGTATTTCCTCATCCGTCTTTTGAAGTCATGATACTGCTATGGTCACTTTTGAGGTCTTTCAGAATTTTTTCTCTTTTACTTACAGTCATATAAATTGTTCGCCTGCTTCTGTTTATTTCACTTTGCATCAGTCCCCAAAAAAATCTTTCCATGTTTCTTTGAATCTGTCATATTCCTCACTGCTTATGGTGCAATAAAATTCCATGACATTTATATACCACAATTTGTTCCACCATTCTCCAATTAACGAATACTTGTTTTGTTTCCATTCCTGTGCTACAATAAAAAGTGCTGATACTTATTTTTATGCATATGAGTCTTTCCTTCTGTCCTTGACTTCCTTGAGATATGCACCTAATAGTATTAGCAAGTTCATTTTAGAGCCTTTTTTAGATATGATTCTATATTGTTTTCCAGAATATTTGAAACAATCCACCACAGTTTTGTGCCTGTCTTCCCACATCCTCTCCAATGACTGCTATTTTCTTCTCTTTTCATCTTTTCCAATCTGATGGAGTATGAGGTGGAACGTCAGGGTTGTTTTAATTTGAATTTCTCTTATTACTAGTGAATTGAAATATTTGTTTATATAATTGTCAATAGCTTGTATTTCTTCCCTTGAGAACTGTCGGTTCGTATCCTTTGACCACTCTTATCCTTATATGTTTGTATTAAATATTTAAATATCTTGGATATTAGACCTTTAAAGAATTTTTAGAACACATTCTCTTGAATGGACAGGAACTTCTTATACAGTAGTTAGTTTACTCTCAGGTACAACAGAATATTCTTAATTAATCTACTGTCTCTCAATGTTTCCTTCCATGAACACCAGATGGCAGAAGAGACCCTGCAATATATGCCTTCATTAGGAAATCTCTAAACTGAGACTCAACCTAGCTAAATTCATAAAGGCGAGTTGATTGTAGGTAATACAATTTTTAGCCATGACTCTCAAAGACTTTCTACCCTATCACAGAAGTTTGCAATATTCATTGGTGGAAAAAACATCCATGCCATTTATATGACGGATTTGTAAGATAAGTATAAAGTACTATGCTAGATTTTGGGATGCAAAGAGAGATACATAATGCTCTAAAGAAATTTATAATTAATTGGGATTAGGGAGAGGGAAGACAGGTACACAGATAACTAATACATAAGCAAGAATTATATAATTGCAAAGAAGTACAAGAAAAATCTTGAGAGAAATATGAAAAGGGAGAGACCACTTTTACTGGGGTGGGGTGGGAGAATCAAAGAAAGCTTCATGGAGGAAATGACATCTGAGTTGGGTCTTAAAGGAAGGGAAGGACATCAGCACACGGAGATGTGGTTGGAAGTCTCTTTCAGGCCTAGCACAATGGCTAATCACACTCCACTAGGTGAGGCCCACGGGGCTGGTGACCTTTTCCAATCTCTTTTCTTTACATAACTTATAGTTTGCTCTGGGTGTATTGCTCTGTTTTCTCAGCAGGGGACTACGCTCTCAGTACTTTAATTCTACTTCACACCTTAGACTCCTGAGTCAACAATTCTATTTTTGGCTCTAGCCTAAGAAGTCCTCTCCCAGTGGAGGAAAGGAGGAAGTGAAAAAGGTATCTAGAGTGCAAACAGAAATCAGATATCGAACAGGTAGTTTCATTCCTATACAGGAAGCGAATTGCTAAACCATAAAGAATCATAATGAATAATAATTACAAGCCACGGGCAAGCCTCAATGGAACATTTTCAAATGGGTTGTTCATTAGTTTGTTCACATTTCACTTTCATTGAGTGTAGTCTGATCACTGCCAAGTGAGCTCTTTGCTTTCTGGTGGTTTCTCTCTCTGTGGGTCACTTTTCCCTTTATAGACCGTCCACTCATTTTGTCTTTGCCAGTGCTTCTGTTACTGGTGCAAATGTTCCAATAACCAAAACCCTGCTCCTTAACCCAATGTTTAGCATAGTGCCTGGCATATAGTAGGCATTTAGTAAATGTTTATTGACTGACTACCCAAGTGCTCAAGGTGTGTGTGTGTGTGTGTGTGTGTGTGTGTGTGTGTGTGTGTAGGAAATGGTGGTGCTAGTTGTCTTTTGAGATATTACAAGGCCCTATACCAAAATTAAAAAACAGTTTTAAACAAGAGATCCCTGAAACAGATTTATGAAGAAGCCATGCTTTCATGGTGCTGGCCAGTTGTGCAGAGCATCCTTCCACCAACCCTTTGGAATTCAGAGTCTTTGTACCTTAAGGCCTGCAGGAAGGAGAGGCTGAGGGGAAGGGGTTGCTTACTATGTACCTAGAGTTCTGATGAATTAGCCAATTAAAAGTGTCCTTATGGCAGACAGGAAGCAGTCAGAGGATATCTGAGCCTTCTCTGAAGTTGGGGGTAGAAGGACTCCTCCATCATGCATCCCTAAGGATGGGCTACATACGCATGAAGAATGACATTGGAAAAGGCACAGGGAGAGGGGAAAACAGAAAAAGAAAAAAGAGATTGAGAGTTGTCCAGTTTGACAGGAATATAGACTACATGAAACAGGTGCAGCATGAGATCTTGGCAAGTAAGTTGGAACAAGATTGTAGAGGTCCTTGAATGTCATAAATGATGCTTTACTTGGTAGATCATAGGGAGCTCCTGAAATGGAATTAAGGAGTACCATGGTCATGAAAAGAACATTAAGATTACTTGGATAGTAGAGAGTGGTAATACATTAGAAAGGAGCTAGACTGAAGCCAGAAAGGATAATTAGGAGGTCTTCTTATAATAGTCAAGGAAAGAAAAAGTAGTAATTGATCAGATCAATATTACTATTGCCCTGGAAACTCTGTGACAGTCTACTTCTCTGTGGCTCTGTTCACAATCCATGTGACTGCCTGGATCAAGGCTCCTTCCTTGGCCACCACTCCTCAATATGAAGTTGTATCCCCAGGTAGAATGTAAACTCTATGAAGGCAGGTATTCTCATTTTTATATTTGTATCCCCAGAGGCTTTCAGATTAATTGAGGTGAGAGCTTGAACCAGGGTGATTGCATTTGGATTGATTGTGAAGGGAGCTTTTATATTTATAATCTGCAAGGTCATAAAAGATATTTTTGAGATTGTTGTACACAATAACAGCCATGTTGTGCAATGACTAATACTGATAAACTTAACTCTTCCCAGCAATACAAGGATCTAAGACATCTCCAAAGGCCTCGTGATGGAAAATGCTATCCACTTCCAAAGAAAGAACTATGGAGTTTGAATGCAGATCGAAGCATACTATTTGCTATTTTTTTCTTCTGTTGAGTTTTGTTTCCTCTTTCTGGTGGTTCCTCCTATTGGTTCTAATTCTTACTTACAACATCGCTAATATGAAAATATGTTAAGTAGGAATATGTACATGTATAGCCTATATCAGATTGTGCACCATCTTGGGGAAGGTGGTGGGGAGGAAGGGGGAGAAAAATGTTGAACTCAAAAGTATATGGAAGTGATTGTTGATAAATCAAAATAAATTAATAAAAAAATGATTAAACATCAAAAAAAAAAGCAACAACAAGTTGAACCCAGAGTTGAATAGGAGGATGAAGGTGAATGACAAAAACATTATTTTTTGCCTTGTGCCAAGAACTGTGCTAAATTCTGGGGATATAAATACAAAAAGTGAGATAGTCCCTTCCCTCAAGTAGTTTACATTCTAATGGAAGGAGACCACACATATAAAGGAGTAGTAGCCAGGGAAGGGAGTTTTGGCCTAGGGAATAAAAGTGATGACCAATGGATCCAAAGGGCTGTTGATTGATCTGCCCTTCCAGAAACAATGATAGCCTTTTACTTGGGGTTTTTTTCTCTAGAGCAAGAGGCTGAAAGCAAATGGAAGAGTAATATTATGTAATGGCAGGACAGATAACAAAATTACCTGGGTAGATAGCCTAATAAGATGTGAAGCCTGGTATGCTCAGGGGTTGTCCAGGATGGCCAGTTGGATTACCTTTCAGAAATTGCAATGCCTCTTTAATGATCCCAAACTTCTCCCAGAAAGAAAAAGGAAGGCCCTCAACATGTTAAGTTGCCTGTGGTAAGCTCATGGGAGGACATGGAAAAGATTCTCATAGACTGAGTAGGAATTAATCTGCATGGACTGTGATCTGCATCATTCAAGGCAACATAATGACTGAAGAGTATTATGAAGGAAGGAATGCTGATCCACTATGTCAAACACCAAGGAGAGGTCAGGCAAGTTTCTTGGATTTGGAGACAAAGGAATTGAGTTTGAATCCTGGCTCTGCTATTTATATTGTATGTAACTTTGAGTAAGTTATTTAGCCTCTCTGGTGTTCAGTTTCATCATTTGTAAAATGGTAGTCATGAATTATGTTACCACTAAGGTCCCTTCCCATTCCAAATCCATGATCCTACAATGAAGGTTAGAAAATGGCCAATGTATTTTGCCAATAGAGAGGAAAAGGAAATAATGAAGATATATGAGATAAATTGATGGAGGAAGCTGGAAGAAATGCAATGGAAGATATATGTAGAAGCATTAGTTTTATTTTTTAAAAGAATTATGCTTTACTTATTTTAACATTAATTTTTAAAACTTTAGTTCTGAATTCTTTCCCTCCCTTCCTGTATCTCTTCCCTCCTTGAGAAGATATGCAAAGCATATTTCCATATGAGCCATGTTGGAAAAAAAACCAAGAAAAATAAAGTAAATGGAAAAGGTAGGTTTCAATTTGCACTGAATTTATCAGTTCTCTCTCTGGAAGTAGCATTTTTCATGGTGAGTCCTTTGAAATTGTCTTGGATAATTTTATTGATAAGAGTAGCTAAGTCTTTCACGGTTGATCATTATTATAATATTGCTGTTGCTATGTACAATGTTCTCCTGGTTTTGCTCACTTCACTTTAGAGGTATTAACTTTAGCAAGAAGATGTGACACATCTTCATCTGGGTTGTTGGAATTAGAGGGAAGGAGAAGACATCAAATCAATAAGCACTTATTAAGTTCTTACTATGTGCCAGGTACTATGCGAGGCATTAGAGACACAAATTCCTAACCTAGGTTTGGGTCTGTCTGTGCAAGAGTAGATTGCTGCTAGACTTCACATTTTTAATCCAGCTGGAAAGCTCTGTTGGTCCAAAGTGGCAGAATTGTAGGTTCCGCTTTGGTCTGGGTTTCCTGCCTTGCTTAGCCTTTTGCAGACTGGGCTAGTTGCTGGAAGTGCTGAGCCTGGGGTCTGATCCAAACCACTGCTGCTGCTGGCTTCCTAACTTTCTCCTTTCTTGGTTTACTGCCCAGTGCCTCCCTAACTGGAAACCCACCACCTCACTATACACATGTCCCCTTTCTACTTTGCTCTAGGTATGTAATCCCAGGATTGGGTAGTGGGCAACAAAGCTGCCAGTTGGCACTTGTCTCCATTTGCAGTGCCCATGTATGGGTCTGATGGTGCTCCAGTATGGGTCTAAGGCTTCCTTTGGGCTGGTCTTTAGCCTCTCCCTTTGTGCTACAATGTTCTACTTCTAATGCCACTGCCCAACCCCATCCCCAGTGTCTGTAGACTTTGTGGTCTATCTCCTTATGCTGAGCTGGGCTGGACAAAAGATTCATTGTGGCTTTTTCTGAATATCATCAGAATTCTGTCCAGGATTCAGCATTTCATAGATCTGTTTGGTGGAGTTATGGACAGGAACTCAACTGCAATGCTTTCTTTTCCTCAGAAATCATGGCTCCACCCCTGCACTAGGGATACAAAAAAAGTATACACATATACATACACACATATATATGTTTGTATATATGGATATGTATGTATGTATACACACACCCACACACATATATTCAGTATAATCAACAGAATGAAGCCACTAACTTTACAGAGGAATCAAGGGAGGCTTCTTATTTCGTTAGCTGAGGAAACCAAGGAAGCCAGGAGGCAGAGACAAGGAGGGAGAGAATTTTAGGCAGGGGGGATAGTCAATGACAATGCACATAATCAAGAGATAGGATGTTGTTAAAGGAACAGTAAGGATACCACTGGCACTGAGTTGTAGAGTACATGGAAGGGACTAAAGTAGAATAAGACTGGAAGGTAGGAAGGAATTAAGTTATGAAGGACTTCAAAAGCCAAATAGAGGATTTTATATTTGATCCTGAAGGTATGAAATAGGGAGTGACAGAAGCAGACCTATGCCTTTGAAAATATTGAAAAGTTTTATAGTGTTTTTTTCTTTTATTCAATTTTTTCAGTTCCAAATTCTCTCTGCTGCCCCTTCACCCTCTCCCACACATTGAGAAGGCAAGAAAAACAAACCCCATTATGGACATATAAAACAAATCTTTGGATTAGCCAAAACATTGAGAAGTTTAAAAGAATAGAAGGTAGGGATTGAGAGAGTTCAAGTTGAGTGGTCTCAATCGTTTTAGTTAAATAGGGGGTGAGGGGTCAGCTAGGTGGCACAGTGGATAGAGCTCCAGCCTTGGAGTCAGGAAGACCTGAGTTCAAATATGGCCTCAGACACATGAAACTCACTAGCTGTGTGACCTTGGGCAAGTCACTTAACCCCGACTGCCTCACCAAAAAGCAAAAAAAAAAAATAGTACATGAGGTCTTCAGCTAACAGTAATGACTATGGGTAAAGCTGGGAAGTGGAGGAAGAGAAGGAGATTTCAGTGGTCATTTTGGCAAGTACAATAGAGTATCAGTGAAAGATAAAAGGGATTGCTGTCCATCATTAAGAGTCCATTGAAATTAGGTAGTATAAGTTTGTAATTGACCCTGTTGGTATGATTTCATGATTTCTTAATGAGTTGCATTTGGCAACTTGTGTGTAGGAATAGAGGAGGTAGGTGGTAGGAGTTACCTAGGGTTGAGAGTTAGCTCAAGGGAAACAGTGAGGTGTCAATGGGGCAAGGGATTCAAGAGTAGAAGAAAGGGCATTACTGAAATGTCTGACCATAGAGTCAAGACTGGAGAGAGAAGAAAATTAGGTCAGAGGAGCTTTGAAGACTAGGAGAGTAGGGAAGAATCAAGGCACCAAGGGTCATAATTAGAGTAAAGAAAATACGTGGGAGAAATAAGGGAGTAGGTGAATTAGGGATTTCAGAGTTCAAGATCTTGGAGGTAGAGTAATTTCAAGGGGTTGGTGAATGACTGAACTATGATGATAGTGAAGGTCGTAGGAGTCAAGAAGTTCAATAAAATGTGGGGTTACAGTGTTGAATTGATGTGTATGAAGGTGAATCAAAGTCCCTGAAGGGGAAGACATGGGAAGGTGAAGGGATGGTAAGGAAAACTGTCAGGCATCAATATAAAGAAAAGTAAGAGAATGACTAGGAAGGCAGTCAGCAGACAACAGTAACAAGGATTGGGAGGAATAGCACAACACAAGAGCATGGACTTCAAAGGATATGTTGCTGTTGTTGTGGTATGTGATTGTGATGGAATACTATTACACTATAAGAAATGAGCAGGATGATTTCTGAAAAACGTAGACTTACACGAACCAATTGGTGCAAAGTGAAGTGAGTAGAACCAGGAGAACATTGTACAGAGTAACAGCAATATTGTACAATGATCAACTGTGAAAGACTAAGCTACATCTATAGTTACATGAAAAAAATGCTGTAAATCACTATTGATGAGAGAAATGAAAATTAATACAACTCTGAACTACAACCTCGCACCTGTCAGATTGGCTAATATGATAGAAAAGGAAAATGAAAAATATTGGAGAGGACGTGGGAAAATTAAAACACTGATGTGTACTATTGGTGAAGCTGTATACTGATTCAACCATTCCGGAGAGCAATTCTTTTTCTTTTTTTGCTTTTTGGTGAGGCAATTGGGGTTAAGTGATTTGCCCAGGGTCACACAGCTAGTAAATGTCAAGTGTCTGAGGCTGGATTTGAACTCAGGTCCTCCTGACTCCAAGGCTGGAGCTCTATCCATTGCACCATCTAGCTGCCCCTCTGGAGAGGAATTTGGAACTATGCTCAAAATAAAACCATGCATACCCTTTGACCAAGCAATAGCACTACTAGGTCTATATTCCCAAGAGATAAAAAACAGAAAGGAAAAGGACCTATGTGTACAAAAATATTTATAGCAGCTCTTTTAGTGGTGGCAAAGAATTGGAAATTGAGGGAATGTCCATCAGTGGGGGAATGGATGAACAAATTGTTCTATATGATTGTGATGGAATGCT